GCGATTCAAATGTCATGAAACGAAAGAGAAAGAATGGGTGGAGGACAACAGACAAACACAGTGTGGTGATTTCAGTGAGCTCACACCGAATCCTCTGTTTACCCCTCAGAAGTTCATAAGAAATTGCATCAGTAAATCTGGACTCAAGCCACTGCCCTCTGCCATCATCTTAGAAGTCATGGAGGATAATTGTACATAATAGAGGAGGGCATGATCTTGGGGGCACTGTGCTGGGACTCCCTGCAGCAGCTGCAGCCTCAGCTGGGACAGGAGATGTGGCAGACGGTTGTTAGTGACTGGTGACAACAGTGTCTCTCTCTCTCCTTGGTGCCCTCCTCATCCAGTGCCAGGTCTCACAGGAAGGTAAATCTACATGGACCTGAATGACGGTGTCTCTATTGATGGTCATAAACGTCTTCATTATTAGCGGTGGGTGCAACAGAGTGAACAGAGGACACCTGTCCTGTCCCACTCCTCCAAGTGTAATAAGCCTCGTAGACGTCTTTCCCCCCAGAATACTTTGTACTTCCATTTAAAATGGCAATGCAATCACAGTGTTTGCAAGGTAGAATTTTCAGTATCGCTTCGGCTCTTTTGTATGGGCCTCATAATGTCGATATTAGAGAAATCACTGCTACTCTCATTCGACATTTTGAAGTCGTTTTAAGAAACACACAATAAGAGCAGCATACAACATACCCCAGTTGGCCAAAATGCTGAAGAGGTTACTTTCTTTCTAATGACCTGGGTCGAGCCAAAATTTTGCACCTCTGACCTGTTATCAGAGGTATTCACCTCCTTCACGACTGGTATGAACAACAGTATACTTGATGGTTATGTAAAAGCAGAATTGGCTACATAATTGGTAAGGGCTGGTGCAAAGTGAAAATGGATGGTGTTTCGTGGAAAAGTTGCTGAACACCTGCAAGGCAGTGACAGTGGTTCATCAGACCAAGCACACACAGGGCTGTTGGGAGTACAAGGTGCCGATGCCTGAAGCCAGCGGTTCCTGTTGAAGAGGACTTTGGTAAATGAGAGCCTGAAGCCCCCATCTTCCTCCCCATTTACTAAAGTTCTCAATCAAATCAACAGAGAGAATGAGTGAAAATTAAACCCCACAGACTGATCGCATGGTAAATGGATGGGCAAAGTTTACCCTTAAAACTACAATCTGCCTTCTTATATGGATTGTAGGACAAAAACTCAAAAAGAAAAATGAGCGATCACTGGTGATTTAGTGGGTAAGTAGATGCACTGCCAACCCAAAGGCAGATAGTTTGTGTCTCCCAGGAGGTCGCTGGGAGAATGATGGGCAATCTCCTCCTGTGTGATTTAGAGCCTCTGTCAACATTTTACCTTGAAAAATCATTAATCTCTAAAAGCACTTGATCTACTGCCCCAAAAGGTTTCACAAACAAGGTTTTCCTCTTAAGGGCCAGTATAACCATGGTGACCTTTAATAAGGACCAACGGAATGATTCTGAATATAAGTAATGGTAGAAGACTCTAACGATGAATTTGTCCTCATCACTACATTTTTGGGTTTTTTTATCTTTGATATTTTTCCTTTATAGTGTGTTTCCTGTTGCCATCCCTCCTCTCATTCACCATGTACAACAAGCCTTAGCAGTGATCTCAAACTTGAGCTAGGCCTTGATCTGGCCATGAAGACTCGCTGTGAAACTTTCTGGAGTGGAGGTGATTTGTAAGGCTTGTGACTTGTTGTTTTGAAGCTGCCCTTCCACTCTAAGTACAGTGATGCTCTCTCAGTTCTAGGCTGGGGAATGAGATGACACTAATGACAATAATCTTGGCCTTTGCTGTGAAGTGGATCCACCATCTCTCAGAAGTGGGCTTCAGATGGGTCTCAGCTGCGGAAGGCATCTTTGCTTTTAGCACATGGGGGCTCTATCAGACTCGGGGATTCAGGACAGGGCATAGAGGTTTTGTTGTTGTTATGTGCCGTTGAGTCGCTTGCGACTCATAGCGACCCTATGTACAACAGCCCTAAACTCTGCTCTGTCCTGTGCCAATCTCATTGTCTCTGACACACTCATCCTGATTACCCCAGACACTGAATCAATCCACCTCATAGATGGTTTTCCCCCCCTATGTCGTCCCTCCACCCTCCCAAACATGATGTCCTTCTCCAAGGAACTCTCTCATAGAGGTGAGTAAAGAGAAACAGAAAATCTTCTTCCTTCTAGAAAGGAATCAATATAGTGAGTTATCTTATGAAATATTTAGAAATAAAGAAAAAAAGAATAGTCAAGGCCAACTTATTGTGCTAATATCATTTTTTCCCCCGAGCTATAGATTGCTTAGTATAGACTCAAATGATACAGACAGAATTGTTTAAGTGTCTAAGCCCATACTGATTTGTGATCATTCAGAAAAGGACTAGGGGATTATAATATTACCTGCTCTCAACAAAACAGTATATCTTTTTTCCCCCGGTAGAGAATTTGTAGGGATAAACAACTCTACAAATTGTTTGGTCTATTATATGTCACAGAGATTTTTCTATAGCCTGTCTAGACTCCAGACAATGGGTGAGACTGGCTTGTAGTCGCAGACATTTCTATAGTCAGTAATATCACTTAGAAAAGCAAGGGCAATAATACAAACACGAAAGCCAACCTGACCTGCCAACACGATAGTGGAAATTTGAGGATAACAACGCTTTACAAACGTTTAGAAACGACGGTAACAACCTAGAAAGAAGTTTCAGGAGTCACATACAAACCAAAGCAACATTTTTTTTTTTAAATCACACCTAACTCCCAAAATATGAGTCATATTTCAACAATTGTGTCTCCACACTATGAAATAACTTTATTGAAGAAATTCTGTATGCATGTTATGCTGTGTTTCTTACTGCATAGTGATGATGAATAAGTGTATACCTGTGTGGTTTTTATATATTAGAATGTAAATTTACAGAGTATCTTCCAATATATCATTTTATATTAAAAAACATTTTTATAGTCAACATAAAAGTTCTTAAAAATACCTTTCTTTTAATAAGTTGGATTGTCCTAACTATTTGTATCATTGCTCTTCAGAGATATAATAAAGAGGGAGAAAAAGGATTAATGTTGTGGCAAACTCTGGTGGCCTAGTGGCAAGAAGCTGCACTGCAATCCCAGAGGTGTGTAGTTCAAATCTACCAGATGCTCTGCTGGAGTAGGAGGAACAATCTCCTCCTGTACCAGTCAGATCTGATTTGACAGTACACACACACAATTTAAAGTGTGTGTATATATATATATATATAATTAATGTTGCACATACTCTTAAAAGAGTTGAGAGATAGTGTGTACAAAGGAGGAAAGTGGGAAGTGGGAATAGAGTTTCAAAATTGTATCTATTTCTGGTCAGTTCATCTCTGAAAGTGTCTTCTTATTTATGCCTCTCTCATAATTATACTTGTTAGAAAAGAATTAGAGAAAGAAGAAAAGGAGAGATATATAGGAAGAAAGAGAGGGAGGAAAAAAGAAAGGTGACAGACACCTTGTTTACTTCATCTTCACCTTCATATGCTGCTTTATTCTTTTTAGGAAATGATCCAACAAAGAATATTTACATTGTTATTATTGTTAAGTTTATTTTTATGAGGATAATGAAAAGCATGCCATAAATATAAAGAAATATACATAGAAAAAAATACTTTCCTAGACCTTTTAGCACTATTTTTTACTTTGCCAAAGACACCATGTCTAGTCACCAGACTCTTTGCATCTTCATCAGTTGGGATTTCCATTACCACAGTCTTTGTCATTTTTACAATGACTCAGCTTGGGGCAGCTGGAAAGCCAAGGGGGCATCTAATGAAATATATAGAATGTGAAAATACCAAGACTTAGAGTAGAATATGTGCATTTAGAATAAAACTCCCTCTATCCAAAGTCATTTAGGCTCTGTTTCTGGCTGCCTTTTGCAAAGTATTACGCAGCCTATTATTTCAACACAATCAACTCTATCATATAGCAGCATGTAGCATCAAAAGTTTCACCGTAGAACAAACCACCTTGGCTTGCCAAATTTATAACATGCTGATTGATGAAACCATAAAGCACCCTTCTCAGAACGCTCAGCTAAACCCATCCACCACGCACTCCCAGAGCACTTCCTAGGCCTAGGATTTTATGCACACAAATGTGGGGTATTTTCCTCCCGGAATGCAAATGTTAGATTCATATTACACCAAAAAGGCATTACAAAACACTCCTTTTTGGTTTGCTTGAAAGTTCAACGTTTTCTTTTGTCTTTAGGAAATAAATCCTTTAGCCTCATCAAAAAAGAAGACTTTCGTCAACACTTTCTCATATAGTGAGAGTAAACAGATATGCTTATGGGCAATTGATTGATCATTTAACATTAAATAAATCCAGAATAAAATTAAATGAAACTTATTCTAGGTGGAAGACAGGGATAGATTTTCCTTTTTTGACATTTGTCATGATATAAGAGATCCCAGATAAGTATGTATAAAAACCTTTGTATATCATGAAAATGGAGCCAAACTCTGATTCCTCTAAGCCATATTGATTGGCTATTATCAAAAAGGTATAATATATATTTTGATTTAACTTATCAACTAAAACATTATTTTTCAAGTGAAAAAAAACAAAAACAAAACAGCACCACACACCTCCATATATTCCACATTAGAATTATGTGCTTGGCAAACTTTTTGTTCTCATGAAATTAGTGGGAAGTGCTAATCTTACAACAGGATAGCTGGGAATTGTGCAGCACTCTAAAAGGAGCTTGGGTTATTAACTAAAGCGTCCTGGGCACAGGCGACTGAAGCCCAAATTAGGCCCTAAGGAAGTCTCACCAAACTCCCACTGAAGTCAATGGAAATTTGCAAACGCACTTGAGAGAGTTTTCTTGGCCCACAAGGTCTTGCCAGTAATTTCACTCAGCCTTTGAAGTAGATACACAAGTTCAAAAAAATATACATATTTATATGGTTATACATATAATGCATGTACCTCTCCAACATCGTAGACCCAAATACGGCCTTCTGAATCTCCAACGGCAACTTCTTTGCCAGTTTGAGCCCAATGTACCCGGTTTAAGGCAGATGCCCCCTCGATAGCCACACTTGCTGTTGGAACCTGCCAAAAAGGGTACAGCAGAAAAGGAGGGAGGGTCTCTGAATATGCAAGTAAACATACTAATGTAGTCAATACAATGATACCTAATAGCAACAACAACAATGCACAATAATATACTTCACTGGATGAGTCACCCCTGATGTCAGGTGTATTGAAGAAACATATATTCCATGTAGGGGTAAAAAGGATTCGTTGTTCTTAAAGCACATGCTCTGCTGAACTGAGGGGTAGCAAGACGAGACATTTTAACAGGAAGGGAACAAGGGAATCTTTTCCACAGTCAGCCGGCAGTGAGTGGCATGGCTACTTCTTCAGATTATCCAGGGCATGTACCTCCATCACACAACCACAGCAGCTAAAGGTGACACTTTATGACCAGATGATGATGTATAGATTGATGGAGAGATTTCAGGATTTACTAAGATTCAGGATACCATCAATGGTAGGAAGGAGCGTGTGTGATGAATAAAGATCATATTAATATGAATGTTCAAAAAGAAAACAACATGTAAGTATTAATCTCCTCCGAATCTTATCAGGGATTGGCTGAAGAGGAGGCTAGCAAGTATGCACACGGAAATTTTCAAGTCCTTCTCTTGTTTTTTTGTTTTCCTTCCTTCTGGCCGTACTAGGCTGTGGAGAGTGATAATCATGGCCAGGTCTCTAGCGCGATGACTCTGATATAAAGCGGTGGTGAACTTCTTGTAGAAACTGCTCTACCTCTTCTTTCCTAACCACGCTGAAATAGAAACTGCCAATAATGACATTAACTACTACGAATGCAAAAGCTGGAGGTCCAGAAGTGGAACTTACTGTATTTGGCACAAGAACCTGAGTATTCGTAAAACAATTATCTGTGTGCCTCTCCCTCATAAGCTTGTCTTTGAGGCTGGACCTTTGTGACTTTATAACAAGCCTTCTACAGAAACGTTGGATAGTAAATGACAGCAATGCATTCCCAAAAGGAAAAGGTAATATTTAAACAAAAAGAGAAAGGAAAATAATTGGTGGGTTGGGAGAAGAGGGCAGGGACCACCGCGATCACCTCATGCCACTGTTTGAGCCCGTGTCTAATGAACATCTCGTATCAGGATGGAGACAGGACATGCAGTGTGACTGAGTACCCCTGGCATTCTGTTACTGAAGGAATTGAAACCATCTGTTTATATGAGATTATTGACCCAATACCTATCTTTAAAAGAGCAATAAAACCAGCATCATATGTAAGAAACTATGTTTAAACATAATCTTGAAATCAATAAAAAAATCTTTTACCTGCTTAAATCACTGTATGTCAGTTGGGAGCAAAAAAAGTAAAAGAAAAGTCTCTGATTTTTTTTTTTTAAATACACCATTTCTACAATAAAGTTACCTGCTGGGCATGCTAGAGCCTGAATTTTTTTTAACCAAACCACTCCAAGGCCGAAACAATGTGAATTTAGATGGGCCATAATTCTGTCAATACACTTTATTATTAGTGTACTGCCAGTAAACAAGTCCATGATCCAGGTATTCAGAGTAAATTCAATCCATAATTTAGAAGGCTCATGTTGTATTCAATATCAGATTTGATCTAGGAACAACCTCAAAACTTGAATAAAAATATGTCATTTTAATACAGTAAAAATCAATCTCTTAAAAGATGTTTGCTTTTTGGCATATTTTAAATAATGTGTAGTACATTTTTTTCTAGAATTTTCTAAATTTGGAGACCAAATAATGCAACAACTTAAAACAGTTTATACTTTAACCATAAAAAAAATACACCTTTTTCATAGATACTAGAAATGGTAAAATAAAAAAGCTAACAAAACCAAACACAATGCTTTTCTATAGCATGTGTTAAAAAAAAATAAACTTTTCAACAGATTTGAGATAATGACAGATTATCTTTTCAATAAGTTGACCTTTCAAAAACTGATATATATCTATAATGAAATAAGCCATTACGTTCTATTTTTCTCTATATCATATTTGTTTTCACATTTACTTATTTTGTTATGTCTAATTTTCACCACAAAACCAGCACCCATACAGTATAAATTAATACATCAAGTAACAGAAGTCAATAATACTGAGAATGATAAGTAAATACATCAAGTAATAGAAGTCAGTAGTACTGAGCATGGTAAATGTGAACTGTGTTTAACAGCAGCTGGGACAACCAGGTCAAAAAGTACAGTCATTTAAACAACAATCAAACACAAACACTGCTGCTCAGGCCAGTGGGAACTCTGGTTTTTCCTTTCTTCCTTCCTTTCTTTTTTTTTTTTTTTAAAGAAATATAATTCTCAATCTGACAAATATTTTAAAAATGCTGCTCAACTTGCTAGGAAGAAAAAAAAATTACCTGACGGCGTAAAAAATAAAAATTGTCCAGCTCATTACTGCATTTGAATTAGACATAATCTATCTTCACTTTTACTGGGAAAATGGAATTGCATTTCCTATAGAAATTATTACATGCCTCAGTAATGTTTTTTTCTAAATGTTTAGCTATACAAGTCTTATATGGATGTTTCTTGAAACATAGAGAAAGGAAAGAGAAAGGGGGAAATTATCTGGCAGTGTTGAGGTATTATTTCATTTTACCTCAGATGTAGATAATAGGACACCAAATGAGCTCACTAGGAATTTGTAAGGAGTTTATATGTAGAGAGCTGACTCCCTTCATCCATATCATCCTTGGGCCTCGCCTAAATAAACATCATCTCTACAGAGCCTGATGTGTCATAAAGAGACACCGTATATCAACCTGGAAAATATTTTTAGTTACCAATGTGTTTCTTCTAGAAAATAGAAACAATGTGACTTTAATCTGCAGCAAGGAAAGCCTTTGAAAAACCATACAAATAAAAAGTAGTATCTTTCTATTAAGAAGTTACAAGTATTTCAGTATAAAAAATGATGGGCATTTCACTTACTCAGGTTGTTTTGATTTTTTTTGAAGAAGCTTTGACAAGACCCTTATCCCTTGTCACATTGTTCTGTTTTGTTTTGTTTTGTTTTGTTTTAATGGTCTTTAAATGGAAAGGTTAAGGCTGTAGCTATTAGACATTGGTCACAGGGGTACATACCCTTGCAAGATACAATGACTCAACAATAGCACCTGAAAGAGATTTCCCTGCCCCCTCCACAAAAATCCTCTGGGCGCCTGCTCCGCCTCATATCCTTCAGCTGGAGGTTTCCTAATTAAAAAGGCTGTGCTGCTTCCTGCTGAAACACTTCAAAAGACCTTGCTCTGTTCTCCACTTGACATATAGTTTGCAGCACTTGTTCCTCTTACCTGCCCTTTCTTATTTATGGGGAATTATCTAGAATCAGAAACCAGGAGTAAGGCAGAGACCATTTTCTTGATTAATTTATAGGATATTTAATATTCACATTAAAAAGAATTTATTTCCACCCCCCCCCCCCAGTTGTTGAATTAGAACTTCACTATTTTGGAGGGGGAGAAAAAAAAGTAAAAACACACATCACAAACTCACAATGTAATGGCAAAGCTGTTAAGTCACAGAAATGTCTTTATTACAAGTTATTTTGGGATAAAACTTGTATTTTTCACTTATGAAGTACTCTGTGACAAGCTAAAATTCTACCCTTTTAAAAAAAATTGGAGCCGAGTATATGTGTTTAAAGTGGAGGAAAAGATAATTAGAAAAGTCTAGAGAAATAAAATAGATGATAGATCTAAAGATAATTTTTTAAAAAATCAATGTTAACAGCAGTTTTCATGAATTCAAAATAGAAATTGTGCAAACAGCAAACACTGACAAGAGGTTTTTTTAAAAAATAGGTCAATCTAAAAATTGGAGTCTGCAAAAGCTTACTTTTTCAAATGCTTGCCAATAAAGTTATTTCAATCCCGGCTCTGCAAAACGCCCGTGTGTGTATTCCCGTTGGGAAAGGCATGTGTGTGCACCTATCTATTTGCTCTTTGCAAAGAAGGGTCATCAATTGTTCACGAACTGCAATAGCCTTGCGTTGAAGTGAGATGAAATGATTTCTGGCAAATGCATTTGCCAATTCTCCCTCAGGACAGTCAGGAATGGGGGACCCGTAGCTCAGCTGCAATTGGAGGGTCTGTCCCAGGAAAGGCTTTTCCAGAGCCAGGCAGAGCCCGGCTGCGCCCCCTCCCAGCCCGCGCGCCCGGGCGCCTGCGTCGCCGCTCACCTCAGTGTCATTGTTGAGGTTCCAGAGGTCCAAGCGCCCCATCCCGTCCACGCAGGCAAAGAGCGCGGGATGCACGGGGGACCACATGACATCGTACACATAGTCTGCATTGTCTTCAAAGGAGTAGAGTGGCTTGTTGTGCTGTAAAGCAGAGAGACCGTGAAGACTTTGTGGCGCTGCTGCTGCCTCGGGCTGTCTAGCGAGCCTAATTAAAAACTTTGCACATTCACCAAGTGTCATAAAACTTCCCGAGATGAAAGTCCTCGAAAAGGTGCACCGGAGCTTTAATGTGACTAGAACTGTCCAGTGGCATAAATAAATAGCATCGAGGGGGCTGGGGCAGGAGGGGGGGCGGTTTCAGACTCGGTGCAAGCAGACATTCCAGACAGGTGGACGTCCCTGCCCATTAGCTCGGAATCTCGCTGGGCTGCGCGGGGCGAGTCGCCGGGACCGAGCCCAGGTCTGCGGGGATCAGGCCCCCGGGAGGATCGGCCCGCGCGGGGAGCCGGCAGCCCGGGCCCTGGGCACTGAAGGCAACGCCTGCCACCTCGTGGTGCTTGCCTGCAGCTGCAACGGCTCATATGGTTTCCCGTCCAACCCAGGATCAAATTCATCTTTTAAGAGACCCTTCCTGGTGGGCAATGAAGGGAAAGAGGGAGTGGGGAAGTGTCTTCAAGGGGATAACAGCTCTTTTTGGAAGCAAGAAGTTTTGCTTTCCTGAGACTCTACTACTTAACAAAGAGTCACTTTATCAAAAACATGTAGATTGGTGGCTCATTGTAATACTCATGGACTCACTCAACCCCCCATCCTTTGTAAAGGGAACTGTATTTTCTAAATCGTCCCTGCTTCCAAGAGTCCATAAATGGGTGTTTTGGGGGAAATGTACTAACCCTCCTTCATTGCCTACAACAGCTTCCATTCCAGGGGGATACAATCAATTAAAATGGCACTTATGATTTCCTCTGAACATTGTCACACCGAAATAGCACAGAAGTCAGAGGCAAGTTTGAAAGTACACCAGAAATAAAACGTAATTGGACGTCATGAATTATTCATTCCATCTGGCTTGTCTTATTCTAATTTCTGCATAATGGCTTTACTAATCCCTGATCAATTAATGTAAAATGAAATTTAAATGATAATGAAAGCCCTAGAGATAAAAGAAATTAAGTATTCTTATATCCTCTGACAGAAATCTAAACAATGGGAATACCCCCCACCCCCACCCCCCATGTCTTCTTCATCCAGCCAGCTGTCTGTGTTCTCTTCATGGGCAACAGAGAATGCTTACACGGACCAGAGGAATGAGATCATAAAAAGACAGTGTACAATATGAACAATCACATTTTTTTCTGGATAGGATGTTCAGAGACTGTATCTCTGAGAGAGAACCAGCTGCAAATATTACAGCAGATTCCCAAATTCAAGTCAGAGTGAATATAAGCCACACACCATGTGTGTGCTGAAATCAGTGTGATAACGAGAATAATTGGGAAACCTCCATAAATGAAACCTAATGCAAAAGAAAATGCGTAAAAGTACTATCTGTGCTTTCTCCTTACTTGAGCTGTAGTGCTTTGACAGTTTGAAGTCACTGCTTATAAGGGAGGAAAATGTAATACATTAAAAGCAACACAGCAGATTTGTGATGGGTCATTGTATGTGCTTTTGTAGAAGATGTGTTTTCCTTTTAATGAAAAATTTTGACGGTAGAGTGCTAATTGAAAAAAGAAGAAGAACATATAGCACTGAGAAGTGAAAAAGAATACATTGGTTGTTACTCTTATGATCTCGAGACTTATTATCCCATGATTATTTTATGCCAAACATCTTTATTTTGTGGGTTTGGTGCGATTTAGAGATAAAATTGTTTATTGATGATTGGTGTACTTCCTTTCTTCCTCTGACTGTTTGGACTAGACTCAAATTGCCATCTCCAGCAAATCTGAATGTCCAATGACACTTGAAAATAAAGTGATTATATCTTTTCACTATTATTATTTTTAATTAAAAAGCTGTGTGGAATAACTGGTCCTTCCTTGATCACTTGTAGTTATTAAGTTTTAACTGTTAGCAGATGATTATTTCTGCTTCAAATCTTGATTTTACAGCTCACTAGTTGGTGTTTGTAAAATAATATGAATAAAGTATTTTGCCTTAAAGACAAAGGATGTTAAGACTTATCTAGACTTTTAAACACTTATTCTCAGTCACCTTGCTAAACTGACAGCATTTCTGAGGATATACAGTAATGGATATAAATATACACATCCAGATACACAAGTAACATGTAGTGTATCTACAATTCCTGTTTTGATCAATCAAAAAGATCCATTGAGCTTTAAAGAGTCATATTCTAAGGAGCTGTTATTTAAAAAGTAGTATTCATATTGACTTTTTATTGCAGGTAAATGATCCTTGCTGCTCTCTAAAGTTCTGTTTCATTTCTTTAGTTTTTTAGTAGTGGCCATGAGAAGCCACCAGAGTTGTAGTGTGTCTCTAGACTTTACATGTTAAGCATCTAGGAGAAACTGCTGTGGTTCCTTTGCTCAAATCCAGTTTTTACATACTTAATGGCATTGTATTAAAATATTATTATCCTGCTGATACTTTCCTCTAACTTCCTTATAATTTCTACCTTAAAACTTTAATTTTCCATTACTAAAGTTATTGAACAAATAAGTAGTTCTCAAAAGAATCAAACTTATTACCATCAATTCAAAACTGAACCATAGCTGCCTACCCAGTGGGTTTTCAGGGGCTAGAAATCACATGGGAGACTGCCCATTTTTTCCCAGAGAGCACCTGGTAGATTTTGTACGGTTTGCCTTTAGGTTGGAAAAGTAAACCCTTAGCCTCTAGGCCACCTGAAAGAACTCCCGAGGTAATTCTAAGGTTGTATTATGTATGTTGGGGGGGCCGGGAAGAGGGGCAGTTTAGGTTTTCAAAGGCTGTGTTGTAGCCTTTCTAAATGTATGGGTTGGAGAAAGTGTCAGGGAGTCAAGTTTGAACCCAGAATCTGGGTACCAAGGGAGCTGCTATCTGTCAGTCACTAGTTCTCAAGTATAGGACAGACATTTGGGATCATTAGGATCACACAGTAGTAGGAACTAGTGCTGTTTTAATTATTAATTGCACTATATTTGATAAAGGAATTTTATTATCTCATTTTACTTGAAGGTCACAGTAAACTGGAGACTAAATGAAAAAAAATCTCAAAGGCTTATTATATTTTTATGACAAATATATGTATTATGAAATATTAACATTTCCATAAAAAAATTCAAGTGCATTAGGTCCAAAAATTCTGCTTTTGAATTTGTGAAGCATGAATGTCTATATCTGCAAACTTAGTATGGGATTATCATTGATTTTAGGCAAGTACAAGTTTGGAAAAGTTGACGAGTGGGCCCTATAATATTTTTTGTATACATTCAAGCCACAATGTTTACTCTGTAAGACATTCAAAGTCGTTTAGTAAACAAAATTTCGTTCCACAGCCCGTTAACTGTAGAAAGTGCTTTCAAAACAAGGAGTTTTCCGGAGTCAAATACCCCTTCACCTGCGCGCTTCCCCTCTCCATTGCTGTGTTTAGCATCAGGGAAGTGGTAAAGGAGAAGGAAATAAAAGAAAGAAACCGGAAAGGGCACGTTAGGAAAACTCCCGCACGTGTGGTAGATGCCAGTGAAATAAAGCCGCGACCCCCTGCTGTTTTAGACATGTTTCCAGGGCTGTGACAATAATGCTAAAATATCCAGACACCAACTAGCTCAGTTTTAATGCCTGACTCTCAAACAGAGCAATGAAGTCAGCTACCCGTCACTTCCCAGGCAGACAGAGAAGGCAGAGCAAGGAAAATTGTTGGGTGTTTGCTGTGTGCTTGACTTTAGATGCACATTGTCTAATTTAATCTGCATAAAATTTCTGTAAAGTAGATAATATTTACAGAAAAGAAAAACATAGTTAAGGAGGATGGAGTGTTTGGAACTCAGGTTTTTCTGTTCAGCACATTTCTCTTCACTTAATTCTTTGATGGAACGTAGATGGTCTCCAAGCTTCACAGATCACAAATGTTCTGTTGCTCTACTCTTTACTGTCTCATGTAATCCAACCAAGATTTTCTAAGCATGGTCCTGGCAATAGAAACAGTTTAAAATGACTGCAGTCAGGATATTTTCTTCCATAAGTCTTTTAGCCATAAGATTTCATCCATGTATTTCCAGGCATCTTTAGTATCTTGTGACACTAACAAGGAGGCTAGGTGGTGCAAACCCTTCAGCACTCATCTGCTACCCAAAAGGCTGGAGGTTCTAGTCCACCCAGCAGTGCCTCAGAAGGCCTGCTGACCTACTTCTGAAAGGTCAGCCACTGAAATCCTGACGGGGCACAGTTCTACTCTGTTACACACGGAGTCACTATGAATTGGAAAGGACTGTATGACAACTGCACTAACAAGAATTTTTCTCTTCTGGAAATTAAGCAATCAAATTGGACAGACGCATTTGCCAAAAGATACTAACAGCAGGTCATTCTTGGGGAACAGAATGAAAAGAGGCTATGAGGCAGTGGTCTGGATTCTGTCTCTTTCTGTTCTGGATTCTGTTCACTGAATGTCTGTCTGTATGAGGGACCATTTTTATCTTGTCTGAAAATCAGATAAAGCACAGACAGGGACAACAAAAAATGGGAGGAAGTAGAAGACGCAGACTTTGGACAATTCAACTGAACAGCCTTGGATTTTGGCTTTCTCCTCCCTGATGGAAGGTTGGGGTAATGACCTTGAGGGAATCTCTTAGCTCTGGGATTCTACCACTGACGGCTACATTGTGTGCTGTGTTACCTGCTGTCAGGATTGAATGGAATAAAGTATATGAAAGTGGTTCTCTCACAAAGTACTATTCAAAGGTAAGTGTTATAATTAAAGTCATCTTCCTTGAGGTTCAGTGGAATTTATATCACAGTCTATTTCCCTTTACTTTGTATTTTAGTGAAACACATATATAAAAATGCATCAGGTGGCTTTTAATTTAAAAAATAGGAGTAATTATAGATGTTCTATTTGCATCTGCTTAATTGTAGAAGAAATGTAGACTAATAAATCTATATAGGAGAGGCAGGTAATGAAATCTATTTTAATA